GCAAATTTCAATGTAAAGAAGTGGTAAGAAAATTTCTGCTCGGCTTGGACTATCACAGCACTGAGGAGCTGATGGGGGGCCCGGCTGTAGTGGTGGGGGACTAGAATCTAGGAAAAGTGCATTCTCTTTCGCATACACCCTTGCTGTCACGCGTTAGGTTTCAAACAAATTCATAATCTCACAGGTACACCACACACACACACACACACTTTCACATTCTTACACAAACACACACACATACACACCACACATAACTACCATTTATTTTTCATCCCATTTTGTTTATTTAATTTAATTGCATTCTTTGTCTTCTCTGTTTGCTTTTTGTTGATCTTAATTTGAATTAATTTGTTATGTAAAGTCTATACTAGGCTCACAATGATACCATACATGAGGGCACTGATCTCTGTGATACAGGTATTTCCTAGTACAGAGGTCAGAGTTTTTAATTTTGTACTACGACACCATGACTTGTATCAAATTAATGTAATGCATGATGTATAATGTAATGTAATGAAATAAAAATTATTATTATATTATTATTATTATTAATCGAGGCTGCAGAGAATCCAGAGCTGTATTATCCCTAAGGTAAACTAGATACTTGCCTAGAGCGTCAGGTTACGGAAGGGTACCGGGAGAAGCGCGTGCCCAACTGCTAATTAAGTGACAGCGGCGCCAAACAAAATCAGGGGCGCCTATGAGGTGCACGCCTAGGGCACTCTCGAGAACCGCAAGGTTTACGGGGCCTGTGCCTCGAAGCAGGATTCGGAACAGGGTGATGTTCAATTAGCAACAATCTGACACTCACCCTCCCCTCACCAAGGGCGGGAGAAGCCATAGATGAATTACCTCTCTTCAAAAAAAATTATGAAAAGTAGGCTTTTCCAGACTATAATCTATCTATACAGGTTTTCAAGCAAGTGTGGTTGTCAAGTAAGGTGTGGATGGTGGATTCCCAGGTCAGGGAAGAGTTATTCTGCCTTCGAGGATTTATTAATGGATAAACGAGCAGACCGATCACCTGATGATAAGCAACGCCGCTAATACCTGAATCACGACAGACGTTACAAGTGTCACCGGCCATTTGGGGATTAGGAATTCGGATTTCGAGGATTGGGGAAATTGGAAGCTAATATGTATAAATCGGCCTTAAATAAATATACATATCAGCTAAAACAAAATAGGTGTAAAGATTAAAAAATAAACGACTTTCGTGTACTTCCAATAATAAAACTGTAATTAACGGCAACTATGATTAATAACTTGTTTCCATTTCAGCTTATCAGTGACGAAGTAACGGTAACTGTGTATATATAGTTATGCAATAAAATATGAACTGTTAATTTGTTCCGACCCGTGGATTGCAGATTGATACGCCATTGATTATGGGCGTAGCCACGGTGGGTGAAGGTCAGGGTGGTGTCACTCTTTGTCTGAGGCAAACTTAAAAATCTAAATCATATATTAGGTAGTAACTACAAAAAGTGTTTAGTATCTATATATATAAAAATGAAACCTGTTTCCCGTTGTCACGCCATAACTTGAGAACGGCTAGACCGAATTTGGCTGATTTTTTATTTGTTGTGTTTGTTATTGTCAGAAGGTTTTATGATAGAAAAAAAACCTGAAAATCTTATGGGAACGGGAAAAAACGGAAAAGTCGCGGGCAGAAGCTAGTTTACAATAAATTATATACTCGACAGACGTTAGTTAGCCAGTCTGTCAGCAACTTAGTCCCCCAACGGCTCTCGAGGCATCCAAACACTCTCGCCAATGAACTATCAAAACCGACGCTCGCTGCGAACAGGCTGAATCGAAGGAACGTGCTTTGAAAAGGTAGAAGGGACACTAGTCCCTTCGCCTAATTGCCATAACAACTGAACTCATCAGCTTATAGTCTTGCGAATGATCGCCGATACAGATTCAAAGAAAAAATAAAAGTTAACCAGTGTCCATATTTTTTAGACTTGCCCCACCCTGAGCCCCTGGCTGGCTACACCCATGCCATTGATCTATTATAGTAAGGAAGGTTTTGATTCTTTATCAGGAACCTTTTTTATGATATACTATATATATATATATATATATATTGAAATTGCATTGACATTGAGATTGGTTTCAAGAGTAAGCACCCAGGAATGTTTGGGACTCCCAATCCCCAGAAGGCGGGAAACGCACTTGTAACGCCTCTGGTGTTCCAAGTGTCCATGGGCGACACCGATTGTTTCCGTTTTTCCAGTTTCTACAGTATTTACTTTATGGGATAAGCCAGTAAACGAGCAGATGGATCACCTGATGGTAAACAATCGGTGTCGCCCATGGACACTTGGAACACCAGAGGCGTTACAAGTGCGTTTCCCGCCTTCTGGGGATTGGGAGTCCCAAACATTCCTGGGTGCTTACTCTTGAAACCAATGTCAATGCAATTTCAATCCAATAAAAATCAAATGTCAAAACTGTACAACCTCTATCGTAGCTATTGAAATAGCATTCAGAGTACGGAATATAAAGCCGAACTCAATACCATTTAGTTCATTCAATATCCACGCAATACGGATGCAATGGGCGCTAGTGTTGCTACTTAAGACTACGAAATTTTACAATATCAATGTTGATCGATCGGAATTGGATTCAAGAGTAAGCCCCCTGGTCGACTATGAGCCTCTTCTTCATATGAGGGGCTTACTATAACCTCCATGTGTAGCAGGCGGGTCGGAGCCCTGTGTCGGGCCCCTGTCAATTTTGTAGTCCCTTAAGCCGAGGATACACTAATGGAGAAAATGGCCTGCGGCACTTGTCACCAACGATGTCGGGTTTTTGTCGGCTGGTAATTGGGAATTTGATGATTCGTGAATTCAAATTCAAATTGTTTATTATCTCAAGAATTACAATATCTATCTAATATTAACTTGTGGCGACACATGTCATATGTCAACGGATGACGTCACAAGAATCCTACATCGCACATGCAAAGTATTACAAGCGAATAAACACGGATAGAAAATCCCAACGAACAACTGTTGGGCAGAAAGCCCGCCAGGCACGATCACCTCGCTTGGTCGGAGGATCCTCCTTTTCCGATCTTAGGGAACTACACTCTCTGTTCCCTAAAAACTCAGCCCTAACAAGTAATTACACAATACTTGTGTTGGGCGTGAATAGACTTCTCAATGTTCAAAACAACACAATGTTTTTAAATAAAGGTAAACATATAACTCATATCATTGTCAAAAAATATAAATAATAAATATATGACATAATAGTCATAAGTATCATTACATAGTGGCCAACCGGCCCATCTAATATATAAAAAAAAACTTATGTTACATTACCAGAAACATGACATCACGTCTTTTGTCCCCAAAGGGGTAGGCAGAGGTGCTCATTACAGTACTTAATGCCCCACACTTTCCACTATTTTATATTATGAGTCCTATTGCCATATACCGGGCACAATTCCAGACTCCGTGCTACCATTGAGAATATTTTAAAAACCCAGTATTATTTTGCCCAACTCGGGAATCGAACCCGAGACCCCTTGCCCGGCAGTCACACTTGCGACCACTCGACCAACGAGGCACTTACGTTCGAGCCAATTTTAAGTTGGCTGAGGAATAATAGCATTGAATATTTGACAATTCTTCCATACTAAAAACTATCAAATTTTATTTTTATTCTACAGTTAACCCGTTGAAATCCATCCCCTAAATTGGTTCATACAAAAGTAGTCTCTAAACATTGGAAATAAGGTCTATAATGTAGTTAGTGGAGAGCGGTCACCGGTGACCGCTTGGGGATAATTATATGGGTATTTTTTTTTTAAAGGGGGGCAAATCATCAAATGACTGCTCCCGCATGGGTGAGGCGGGAGGGAGTGTCAGACTCTTACTGAGTAAAAACCACCCCGTTCCTTCTCCTGCACGTCGAGCCGGAGCCCCGGTTACCCGTTAGGTTCTCCGCGACTAATTATATGGATTAGGAATTAACTGATGATTGAAAAATCAGCATCATCTATAGTTGAATTAGAAGATAATAGCGGCATCAATCGCTGGGCAAGCATGAGGACATTGATGAATGTAGGTATAGCAAAAGAGTTATGCCAGAATTGTGGCATTTGGTGTTCTATTGTCTATGTCTACCACAATGGAAGACAGGTGTAATTACATATATGTTTTATTGTTAATCAAAGTCAAAGTCAAAGCATTTATTTCAATTAACTCGTCGAGTACTGTATTTATAGACACAATTAAAGAACAATAGGTTGCGGTCACCGGTGACTGCTTAGTGTTTGACAGTTTAAACCATAATTTGGTACTTTTGAAACGTCAACAAACACAAAGTAAATAATAGTCTGTCAGTCAGTCCGTCAGTGAAGGTAGGTCCACTCGATACTCTTTTAAAAAAAGTATGTTCTACAATGTCTCTGATATGACTGTATGTATATGATATTAACCCATATATCCCCAACCGGTACCAGTGACCGCTCTCCACTAACTACATTATAGACCTTATTTCCAATGTTTAGAGACTACTTTTGTATGAACAAATTTAGGGGATGGATTTCAACAATTTTCAAGGGGCTAAAGATATGTTCATCTAAGCGCAGTAACTAGCTGTTTTTTATTGTGAGATTTATAGCAGAATATTTTATTCTTTGCGTAGCAACTGAAACTCCAGTACAAGAGAGATACAAATACATATATTATATAAACAGTTTTTATCTTGACAGAGCATTGTACTGAGAAGTATATCCACTTCAAATATACACTTCCAATGAGAGTTTAGTTTATCAATTGGCAGCGGGCCAAAACTAAAATTTAAGTTAATTTTTAACTCTTATCAAAGTCAGTACTTAAACAATTAGCTTCGCAATCCATTTTTAATTACTCAAGAAACGTGTTCAATTTAATAGATACTATAAACTTCACGATATCGGCATAAAATTTTTATCTAATAAAACCGAAGGAGGTTATCAACGGCGATAAAAAATAACTTACCTGGTACTCGATGTCTATGATTTCATCCGTCACGACTTTATGAAAGAAACAATCTATTTTCCCAGGCTGTACAATTATAGTCATATCTTTCTCATAGGCAAAAACAACACTAAAAATAGTTGCAAGAAATATGTAACGCATTTTGATAAAATAAAACGTATTTACTGTTTTATACTGAGTGTGTAATACCACAGAGTGTTGGTAAAGTTATTTTTAGTATCTGTATGAGTTGTTTCTGTTTATAAATAGCACAAAACGAGTGATACGTCCGATTTATTTTGCAAATAAATAAACAGTCGCCGCGACCAAGGTGCAAATTCGCTGACTGACAACCGGACGGAAATTGGTAATCGTTCTGAAATTGGTTTTTGACAGATCAGATCATCGTTGTTTTGCTTGTTTGCTGAAAATTTTTATGCAAATTAAATAAATGCTTGATACATTTTTATGATCTTTTTGATTATTTTGCTCTAAATAAAAAGTGAATATAATTTATCGGAAAATATTTTTTTTAAATATTTTTTTAGGTAATGGTTTTCGTTCTGAAACGTAAAAATGTTCCAGTTTTCAGTCTCTCAAGTTGTCAAGCATATTTCTTTATCTCGTTCGTACTTCCACACAATTCCTAATAAAGAACCATAAACAATGCTCAATATACTCTTATTTCCCAAACAGGGAACACCAAAAAAGAAAACAAAAAACATGCACAGACTACTAAAATCTATTTAATTTATACTTTTTGTGTAAAATCTCATTTTGGGGCGTATTTACCTTATTTTTAGGGTCTCGTTTGAGTTACAATGTCTAGTGGAAGTGGTGCGGGTGCTCCGCCTCAGGGTGGCGTGGTCAGGAGCAGCGCATTGTCCTTCGTTGCGTCTGCGCAGCCCGCGACAACAGCTGACAACGTTCCCGGGGCTCCGGATATGAATCGGGAACAGGTACCTCAGACAGGTAAATGAGATCATCTTTGTTTTTTTATAAACTAGCTTCTGCCCGCGGTTTTGCCCGCGTTACTTAGGGATGAAGAAGCCTGTGTTATTCCAGACTGATCTACCTCTGTCCATAATTACTCCATCTAAATGAGGTATACATCCTTAATTTTATATTTCTTATACAGAGAGATTGTTTAGGTATGAACTAGATCTATGAAAATTAGCCGTTGATGCTAGGCACAACATAAGCCCCTATGAAATCATTGACTGATGTAGGGCACTCTCCTACTAGGTGGAAATCCTAACTCCTACACGCTTCTTAGCACCACTGACTCCTCTGATGCCATCATTATCACCATGCAATGAGCCACACTGTCCACTACCTCCCAGTCCGCCCCCAATAACTAGACATCATGAGGTTGGATGGAACAAACCTGTAGTCTGGTGCTGATATATTTTCTTTATACTTGATAAGTTGACGTTTGGCCACCATCTCACCTGGTGGTAAGCTATATGTTAATAGTAATAGTAGTAATGTGTCCCATTCCCATTGCATTCAGATTAAAGTTGTCTAAAAGGCCTTTGCGCAGTTAGCTTCGGCCCCTTGACACCTCCCAAATGACCAGGACCCTGTGGTCCTGTGAGTAGTAAAGACATAAGTACTATTTTTTTTTTATTAGGACAATCCCGCCACACCCTCTCAAAACCGTTGCAACTCCTGTAAGCCAGTATCTACAGTAGATACAACCATGAAAACTCCGGAACACTGAGTCTGGCGCGTCCCAGGAACATGAATAACTATCTTGGTTCCCGCAACGAAGTGAATCAGAAGATATTATAAAAGGAGAAGAAAAAAACGACGGATTCCACTTCCCTCTGTGAATTACTGCAGACAGAATGATTTAAGCCCGAAGGCACAAAAAAGAGACTGTACAACTGGGTGAAGCCCAGTCGCCAAGCACCACGGAAATTTGACTAAAAACTAAGTGGGTCCTATGTGGGAGCTGTTATACTTGCTTCCAATAATAGGTATGGCAAAAGCGCCTAAATGCACGGAAATTTGGTCTAGATTCCACAAGGTCCGTATAATAACCTACACCTGACGAAACAATTAAATTATTTAACATAGTGTTACATTCATAATGCCTCATAATGTCGCTTAAAAAAAAGACAGTAATAATAATTTACAATTATCTTCCACAGATCGCCTAGTCCCAGCAGGACTGACCGCACTATGTGAAGCGTGCTCCAGACTGTACCCTGACCAGCCAAACCCATTACAAGTTACAACTAGACTCAAGTATTGGTGAGTGGTTCATCCTTTGAGGTATTCCTCGTAGCGCTCCCATCTAAGTCAACGTCAAAATCATTTATTTCAATTAGGCCAGAATGGCACTTTTGAACGTCAACAAAAACAAAAAATTTAAAGTGAAGCTATTTGCTCATTCCAAGGCGTAGATTCCTATGGAGAAGAACGAGCAAGAAACTCCATAGGTTACTCTTTTTCAATCATGTTCACAATACAATTTACTAGTTACATAGTTTTGCTGTTTGGATTGTGCGAGAACAATGTAACACTAAAATCCAGTCAAAGTGATCACTCAGTCAAAGTAAGCACTCCCGTTTTGTTCCTCCAAGGAACAATTAAAAATATTAAAATTTATTTTCTCGAAGCGCTCCCATGATTAACTTTCGGATAGAGATGGGACTATACCATAGTATAAAGAACAAAGTAGGTTATCTTCATACAAATGCTCCGCGCGCGGCTTATATGTGTGCGCCATAGTATCTATGCGTCGACGCACGCACACTATAACAAAATCTCGACCCGTTTCTCAGTGCGCCAGGCAGGGCTGACACTGTACGAGGATTGCGCGCGCTTCACGGCTTTTCGGCACTGTTCAATGAAATAAAAAATGTCTGATAATCGTAGAAGAACGTATTGCTGTGTGTTTGGGTGTCTTAATAATTAATCGATTCCAGAACTGTCCCTGTTCAGATTAGGTACCTATTGAACAGGAAAGGTAAGCTAGTCACTTTTTCTAGCATAATATAATTTGTAGGTACTTGATGATGAGATACCTACTTACTTATTTTTACTCTTATCATTCTTCATAGTTCCTACTCAACCAGAAATGTAATTACCTACTATATTTAAATATTATAAGAAAATGTGGTATTGTATTGTTTATTTCACAGTTTATCTGATTTGTTAAGAGCGTAGCCGAGTCGCAATTTTCCATATAAATGTATTCCCAAATTTACTTTCTGAATACTATGTATAGAGCTAAAGTTTATTTTAAGAAGTTAATAATCTTTTTATAAGCTTTTAATTTTTACTAAATTTATAAATTGATAAAATATTCAATCATAATATGCTTTTCATTTCATAAATTTAGATCAAGTGCTGCTTGTTCGAAAATATTAACTAAAAGTAAAAGTGACAACCCTGGGGATCAACGCAAGAGTAGGCTAATAACTCGGCGGGCGGCCTTAGATAACCTACTGTGTTCTTTCTACTATGACTATACTAACTGAAATTATCGATAATAACTAGGTAGGTAATAAGTAGAACACATTGTATACAAAACGGGAGCGCTACGAAAAATACCTCCATCCTTTGTGTCTTATAATATAGTTTTTGACAACTAGAAATACCTATAACATGCAACATGATCATATTTTTATTTCCGTAAAAAAATAAAAATAGGTATGTGTCTAATGTTTTTAAAAAATCTACCAGACGGATGTTGAAATAAAAATTGATCTTCTACCTTATTTGTGGATCACACAAAGAGTTGCTCTGTGCAGGAATCAGACAGGCAACACAGCCAATTATGGCAAACTCGTCGAGTACCGTATTTATAGACACAATTAAAGAACAATAGGTTGCGGTCACCGGTGACCGCTCGGTGTTTGACAGTTTAAGGTAAAGCAGGGACCGGCCGGATACTCGTTGAAAGGGTTTTGGAAAGGGTTATTTTAAGCGCTTCAAAATATAGTGGTAGCGCTTCAAAATAAGGGTGTGGATAACTCGTTGCGAACGGGTAACCCTTTCAGAACCCTGTAACAGTGTAAGTCATTCCTGCTCACGACATTGTAAAATGCACTGTTTACAATCGAAATTAGGTTGAAAATTGCATTACCACAACCTACCGTGACCTTGTACCGTGCCGGCGTCCGCCAATGGATACCGAGAAGACACTCACAGTCCAACTGTGTACTGCCAATGTCATGATGTATGGTCTTGTGTTCCCAGGCTGGGCGGTCACGATCCCCTGGACTACATCAGCATGTATTGGAACCCGGGCAAGCCGGAGGAGCATATATTGCCACATTGGCACTATGTCAGGTAAGTCTACTATTAGGTCTTTACTGTCCAATCTAATGTGTCCATTCTCTTTTGGATAGGTCGGCAAATTACCATATGCATCACCTAATGGTAAGTGATCGGAGCCTCTAATGGGTACCCACAATACTAGACGAGTGCGTTGCCGATATTATAGGGTCTCTGGATTTGGGAATTGGGGGAGGATTCGATTATCGGAAGTTACGGAGTTTCTTGCTCGTTCTTCTCCACTCGAATCTTCATTTTGGAATTAGAGCATAGCTTCACTGACAGACTGTTATCCTTACTTCCTTACTAATATTATAAATCTGAAAGTGAGTTTGTTTGTTGGTTCCACCTTCACGCCGTAACTACTTACCAATTGCTTTGAATTTTTGCAGACGTAAAGTTAGAAGTCCGGATTAAATAATAGGGTAGGTACTTTTTAACCCGGAAAAATTGATATTCCCGAGGAAAAACAAAAGTATTGGTATAGATGGCGCTGTGTGTATTTGTATATGTCACATAGGCTACTTTTTATTCTTTTGTAACGCGAGCGAAGCCGCGGGTAAAAGCTAGTTTATTATATATTTGTTGACGTTTCAAAAGTACCAAATTATGGTTTAATTGAAATAAATGCTTTTGAGTTTTATTTAGGGTCGACATAATGCATATTCTTTTTCTCTCCCTAATTAATATAGATTTTTATATCTACGCTGTTATGTATTTGATTCCCTCAATGTTCGAATAGTAGGAGAGTCACAGTTGTGATTTTCGAATTGGATAATGAATCGAGAGGGATGTCTTTTTTTGACGTTCAAAAGTGCCTTCCTGGTCTAATTGAAATAAATGATTTTGACTTTGACTTTGACTCCTTAACGATAGTCAAAAACATAAATTTTGTTGTAATTTTATTTTTAACTACTAAGTACATAACATCACGCCTTTTATCCCCGAAGGGGTAGGCAGAGGTGCACATTACAGCATTTAATGCCACTGTACAATGTAACACCCACTTTTCACTATTTATGTTATGAGTCCCATGTAATAGGGGTGAGCCTATCACCATACACCGGGCACAATTCCAGACTCCGTGCTACTATTGAGAATTTTTAAAACCCGAAACCCCTTGCCTTGCAGTCGCACTTGCGACCACTCGGCCAACGAGGCAGTCTTATTTTTAACTAAAGACCCATTATTGTTCTATTTTCTCCAGTTTCGGAGTGTCAGACCTGCACGGCGACGGGCGCGTGCACCCCCCGCCGGCCACGTGGGCGGGCGCCCCCTCCGGGTACGGCTTCGAGCTGACGATGAGACTGTCCGCTGAGGAGGGAGTCACTCAGCCTCCTCTCTGGCCCGCCGCGCTACTGCAGGCGTTGGCTAGATATGTTTTTACTACTGGTATGTTTGATACAGAATATATTTTAAACTACTCATCTCGTGGGTGTCGTATACCCATTTAACAGAGATCGGTTAGCACTCTCTGATGAAGGTCATTTTGAACTGCAAACTCCAATTCTCTTGTTAAAGCAGGTAGATTTTTTTAAGGATAAAAAATCATCGAATGACTGCTCCCGCCTGGGTGAGGCGGGAGGGAGTGTCAGACTCTTACTGACAAAAAACCACCCCGTTCCTTCTCCTGCACGTCGAGCCGGAGCCCCGGTTACCCGTTAGGTTCTCCGCGACAAAGCAGGGAGATTATGATAAACCTCTTTTACATAAAAATGGCTTATTATCCATGTCTGAGCTTTATTATCTCTCTCTCTCTCTCTCATAAGCTGAGGGCTAAGTACGATTTGGTTGAAAGAGATCGCTCTGATTGGCCTGTTCTAATGAACCAAGTGTGGGAGAGCCATGCTTCGGCACGAATGGGCCGGCTCGACCGGAGTGATACCACGGCCTCACTATATTTTTAGCTTCGGTATCGTTTGTAAATCACGCCCCAAGTATTCTTTTCAAAAAATATATTTAATGTACAGTTTTGAGTTTTCTACAATTTTATTACATAACATAACATCACGCCTTTTATCCCCGAAGGGGTAGGCAGAGGTGTACATTATGCCACTGTAAGGTACAATGTAACACCCACTTTTCACTATTTATGTTATGAGTCCCATGTAATAGGGGGTAAACCTATTGCTATATACCGGGCACAATTCCAGACTCCGTGCTACTACTGTGAATTTTTTAAAAAACCCAGTAATACTTTGCCCGACCCGGGAATCTAACCCGAGACCCCTTGCCCGGCAGTCGCACTTGCGACTACTCCGTCAATGAGGCAATTTTATTATATGTACTTATATACCTTTTTGTACCTTAGGTAACAAATTATGCGCTGGTGACCACATAACCTGGCACCGCGCGCTGGACGGCGGGGCGGGCGCGGCCGGCGCGGCGGACGGGGCGGACGGGGCCGGCGCGGCACGCTCGCGACTGCGACATCTACTCGTCGCCGCCGACCCACTCCTACCCACCACACACACTCCACATGGCACTGTCACCTTCTTACAGGTAGAGTAGCCGCCCCAACAGACGTTGTCCTGCATATCCACTTGAATGTATAAACAAAAACTCATTCAAATTAGTTCAGCTGTTTAGGATAAATAACCTAAACACCGACTGCAGCGCGATCTGCCGGGCTGATTTGTGAATCCAAACCATTCCCAGATCCCCTTGAATACACACAAAAAATTTCATCAAAATCGATCCAGTCGTTTGAGAGAAGTTCAGTGACATACACACTCACAGAAGAATTATACATATAAAGATATAGTAAATTATTATGATCACTTACCATTAGGTGATCTGTCTGATCGTTTGCCTCCTATTCCATAAAAAAATTAAGTAGTTACGTCACTTTTCGAGGATGCTCGACTGCTTTCGAATCAGACTGGGGTTCATTTTTTTATATTTGATGGGCTATTATTTAATCCGGACTTCTAACTTTACGTCTGCAAAAATTCAAAGCAATCGGTTTAGTAGTTACGGCGTGAAAGTGGAACAAACAAACAAACTCACTTTCCGATTTATAATAATTAACATCACGCCTTTTTATCCTCGAAGGGGTAGGCAGAGGTGCACATTATACCACTGTACAATGTAACACCCACTTTTCACTATTTATGTTATGAGTCCCATGTAATAGGGGGTGAGCCTATTACCATATACCGGGCACAGTTCCAGACTCCGTGCTACTACTGAGAATGTTTTAAAAACCCAGTAATACTTTGCCCGACCCGGGAATTGAACCCGAGACCCCTTACCCGGCAGTCGCAATTGCGACCACTCGGCCAACGAGGCAGCCGATTTATAATATTAGTAAGGATTAAATGTTGTATGTTTATGTTTTCAGATAGTAGGATGCACTGGTAGAGAGCTAAAAGCTGCTCAACGAGGGTCCGGCTTTGAAGTACTGAAGCTTATCAGCGAAGATCCAAAGTAAGTAATTTCTTTTAACTTATTTTTTATGGGATAAGCCGGTAAACGAGCAGACGGATCACCTGATGGTAAGCAAGCAGTGTCGCCCATGGACACCTGGAACACAGAGGCGTTACAATAGCGTTACCGGCCTTTTAAAAAGGAATAAGTACGCTCTTTTTTTGAAGGTTTGACGGTTGTATGGGTTTGGATTTTCCCAAAATCCTACAGGGACGGGAAAAACGGGATTTTGCGTACGAAGTCGCGGGCAAAAGCTAGTTTTATTTAAAAGGAGATCCCTATGTGTGATTTACTGTTACAATTCTTCTATAAACTACGGTTAAAAACCCGATTTCAACCCCTTCTTTTTTAAATTCGATAATTTAATATACTAAAACCTTGCATGAAAGGTTGCATGAAAAGATTGATGACTGTTGATTCAGCCAATATCGAGATATTTGCACACAAACATACATACAGGTCTAGTCTGACTGATAATCTATTTTTAAGTCTGGTAAAAATTGTAAAACTGCCTCGTTGGCCGAGTGGTCGTAAGTGCGACTGCCGGGCAAGAGGTCTCGGGTTCGATTCCCGGGTCGGGCAAAGTATTACTGGGTTTTAAAAAAATCTCAGTAGTAGCACGGAGTCTGGAATTGCGCCCGGTATATGGCAATAGGCTCACCCCCTATTACATGGGACTCATAACATAAATAGTGAAAAGTGGGGTACCCTTCGGGGATAAAAGGCGTGATGTTATGTAAAAATTGTAAAAGTATATGCAATAAATATTTTTATTTATTTATTCTTATGTACCCCCTCCCCTCTAGATGTGGTGGGGGGTGGCTAGTGACTCGTATGTCGCGGCGAGCGTCGTGTCGCCGCCTGCGCGCGGCGGGGGGGGCGGCGGCCCCGGGGGCTCCGGCCACACTGGCCGGGGTCTCCGCCGCGCTACGGTGGATGGCTTGGAACCCTGTGAGTGTATTGTGCTTATTAAATACTTCCTTTGATTTGTTTTATGTGAAAAAGTTCACGGTTATGGGACATAAAGGGGGTGAACGAGCGGACGGATCACCTGATGGTAAGCAATCGGCGTCGCCAATGGACACCTGGAACACAGATGCGTTACAAGTGCGTTACAGACCTTTTGCGGATTAAGAATTGGAGGATTGTGGGGGATTCAGGGGTTGGGTAGGGAGGGGAGTGTTAATTGGACCTTCCCCCCCCCCTCCCCCGCTGTGATAGTGTCGGCCGTGGTATCACTCCGGTCGAGCCGACACTGCAGCGCCAGGGTATGGCGAGCTCACAGTTAAAACCTAGCTTATCTGATGGTAAGCAATCAGCCGAAATACTAGAGGGTTACAACTGCCGTTGACGACCCTTTAGGAATTGAGATTTTGGGATAAGGGGACTGATTGGGCCTTCGGTAACTACACTCACACGGCGTGAAACAACGTTTGTGTTGTACCTGAGCTTCTTTGAGGCTGTGGTATCACATCTGTGTAACCCCATAGGGGGTCTATCTGTGTAACCCCATAGGGGGTCTATCTGTGTAACCCCATAAGGGGTCTATCTGTGTAACCCCATAGGGGGTCTATCTGTGTAACCCCATAGGGGGTCTATCTGTGTAACCCCATAGGGGGTCTATCTGTGTAACCCCATAGGGGGCCTATCTGTGTAACCCCATAGGGGGTCTATCTGTATAATCCCATAGGGGGCCTATCTGTGTAACCCCATAGGGGGTCTATCTGTGTAACCCCATAGGGGGTCTATCTGTGTAACCCCATAGGGGGTCAATCTGTGTAACCCCATAGGGGGCCTATCTGTGTAACCCCACGGGGGGCCTATCTGTGTAACCCCACGGGGGGTTCCTCATAGAAACAATAAGGTTCTTCTAATAGACTGCCTCGTTGGCCAAGTGGTCTGCACGACTGCTGGATTTCTCGGGTTCGATTCCCGGGCCAGGCAAATTATTGCTGGGTTTTAAAAAAACTCAGTAGTAGCACGGAGTCTGGAATTGTGCCCGGCACATGCAAGGCTCACCCCCTATTACATGGGACTCATAATATAAATAGTGAAAAGTGGGTGTTATGTACTTACAGTGGCATTGAGTGCCGTAATACCCTACCCCTTTTGAGGTAAAAGACGTGATAATCATATTCTTCTAACAGCTAATTCTACTATTTATCTAAATAAAATGGGGTACAATACTCATGACATATTAAATTTTTACAGCAACCCTCAGAACAGCCGGCATCCCCGTCCCCCCTCCCCCCTTCAGCGGAACAACAGATCAAAGACACGCTGCAACGTGGGCTCAGCTCCATGACTGACAGAAGTGGACCTGAAGGTAGGCCATCATCCTTACTAATATTATAAATCGGAAGGTGAGTTTGTTTGTTTGTTCCACTTTCACGCCGTAACTACTCAACCGATTGCTTTGAATTTTTGCAGACGTAAAGTTAGAAATCCGGATTAAATAATAGGGTACTTTTTAACCCAGAAAAATTTTATATTCCCGAGGAATAACAAAAGTATTGGTATAGATGGCGCTGTGTGTATTAGTATATGTCACATAAGCTACTTTTTATCCTTTTGTGACGCGAGCGAAGCCGCGGGTAAAAGCTAGTTATAAATAATCTCTTTTTATAATGACTATCGTGAGTAAGGTTGCCACCTTTTTCTTTGGTATTTAAAGTACATTGACGATTATAGGTAAGAAAAAAAGTACACAGTACAAAAATAAAGTACAATTTATTCTTATTTAGTAAGTATATTTAAAAATATTTTTTTTATTGCTTTTTGCAGTTTGTATTAAATTAGTACCTTTACTAAACAATTGTATTGAAATACTAAACATCTTTACTAGATATTATCTAAGTGGCGCTGGCGAGTTATCGATTCAACTTAGATCGATAAATATCGATATCGAATCGATAAGTTTATTTTAAGTTTGCAAAAATAAAGTATTTTCGTCTACTTTATTATTCTTATAAAGTATAGAGTACAATTACCTTAAATAACGTACAATACTTTATTATAAAATACGGGTGGCAACCCTAATCGTGAGACATATGCCAGAATACTGAAACGTTACTCAATTTTAAGTCGTGCTCAAATATCGTGCCATCTCTGTCATTTTACTAAGAATTTGTAGAGATAGAACTATACTTAAGCACGACTTAAAATTGAGTAGCGTTTCAGTATTCGGGCAATAGTAAATTAACTAAAATTGACGAGTTACTCACGTGAATATACTGAGAAAAGATCTACTAGTTTTGAACCACAGAGGGACTCTTTTTCATGAACAGCGTGCGCGGTCGCGGCGATGTCGCGCAGCTTACTCTGTAGGCTAATATTACTAGAGAATTTCAAAGTATATTTATTTTGAATTTATATATATTAATATTTTTTTATTATTTTACTACCATCTTCAAATTAACTACAAGTAAACAAGTCAATAAAAAGAATTAAGAAAACAACAAAAATTATACCCTTAATTAAGCGTCAAAGTACTTATGAAATTATCTTTTAAAAAACTCGTTAATATTTTTGCTCTAGTCGGGTATAAGAGACCCTCTGAACGAGCAGGGATGATGATAAAATGTACCGCACTGTCCTTCACACTGTTTAAAATTCTAATCTCAATTTCTAACTATGTGTCCATCAATAGGCTCACCCCCTATTACATGGGACTCATAACATAAATAATGAAAAGGGGGTGTTACATTGTACTTGTACCTCTATTGTGCCTCTTGTGTATTTATACAGATACATAAAATTAGAGTGTCGAGTAACATTTACTGTTGTTTTGTAAAATTGAATAAAAAAAGTTATGCTCTAAAATTCATATTGTACGCGGACGAAGTCGCGGGCAACAGCTAGTATCAGATATTATTGAATATTGTTTGCAGGTCACATGTCGACCGACAGTTTCGAGATGTCGAGCATGGAGCGAGCTCTGCCACACATACCGGAGCTGATGGAGGTAACGTACCATATTACTATATCTAATAATTTATGTAGAATCTAGGGGTTTCAGTTAAATAAACTAAAAGTAAAATAATCTATTTATTAAAAAAAACAACCGTCTTTTATAATATTTTTTTTGATATAATGAATTGAATATACCTGATGGTAAGCAATCGGCGTCGCCCATGGACACCTGGAACAAGAGAGGCGTTACAAGTGCTTTACCGGCCTTTTGGGGATTAGGAGTTGGAGGATCGTTGGGGAGATTGGGGAAGGGGAGTGTAATTGGGCTTCCAGTAACCTTACTCACACGACGAAACATAACGCAAGCGTTGTTTCACGTCGGTTTTCTGCTCGGCCGTGGTATCATTCCGGTCGAGCCGGATAATATCATTAAATAGAGCAACGTCTTCGCTCATCAACTGTCCGCCATGTTCTATCAATCTCAATCATACCCTTTCATTCTTTCGGATTCATTCACTCAACATCTTACATTATTTCACCAAGTATCCGGATACACACATACGATCCCACATTTATTTTATATCATTAATCCACACAAGTATTTTTGATTGCCTCATTGGCCGAGTGGTAGCAAGTGCGACTGTCGGGTCTCGGGTTCGATTCCCGGGTCGGGCAAAGTATTACTGGGTTTAAAAAAAATCTTGGTCTAGAATTGTGCCCGGTATATGACAATAGGCCCCATCACCCCCTATTACATGGGACTCATAACATAAATAGTGAAAAATGGGTGTTATATTATATTGTACAGTGGCATTAAGTGCCGTAATGTGCACCTCTTCCTTACCCATTCGGGGATAAAAGGCGTAATGTTATATTATATTATTAAGGATTTTGTTAGCCTAAAATAGAATAAAGAAGTTTCGAACTAGTCAAATTGCATACTCTTTCGTAATGTCAAAACAAAAAACCGATATTTTTTAAAGAACTCGTACACCAAACAGTATAGTGTTATTCTCTAGTCGAGTTCCTTGTCAATAATTACGTGAGTAGGCCGAAAACATAATAATATATTTATTACTAGCTTTTACCCGCGGCTTCGCTCACGTCACAAAAGAATAAAAAGTAGCCTATGTGACATATACCAATACACACAGCGCCATCTATACCAATACTTTTGTTTTTCCTCGGGAATATCAATTTTTCTGGGTTAAAAAGTACCCTATTATTTAATCCGGACTCCTAACTTTACGTCTGCAAATATTCAAAGCAATCGGTTGAGTAGTTACGGCGTGAAGGTGGAACAAACAAACAAACAAACTCACTTTCACATTTATAATATTAGTAAGGATGGCTCACGAAAATTATAATACAAATATAGTAGAGCTTTTCTCAGTATATTCACGTGATTAACCAGCGATTTTCAGTTAATTTAGTATGTCTCACGATAGTTAGTATAAACGTTTCATTTTCCAGGGTTCGTGGCGAGGAGACACCGACGTGGAATATTTGGAAGGTGTCCATATCATGTTGAATGCTGAAGGAGCCAGTCTGTTACCGCTAGCTATCGAGTAAGTATTACTAAATCACTACATATTATAAAACAAAGTCGCTATCCGCCGTCTGTCTGTCCCTATGTATGCTTAGATCTTTAAAACTACGCAACGGATTTTGATGCGGTTTTTTTTTAATAGATATAGTGATTCTTAAGGAAGGTTTATAAAATATGTATAATACATGCGTATTGATTATTTAGACACCACTGACACACGGTAAAGCAAAACATCGTGAGGAAACCTGGGCTTATAATTTCTGATTATAAGTTTGAAATCGCCAACCCGCATTGAGCTAGCGTGGTGGTTAATGCTCAAACCTTCTCCGTGCGAGAAGACGCTTTGCTCAGCAGTGGGCAAATATAGGCTGTTGATTATGATCTTTATTGCTCGTATCGTCGATTTTAACTTTTTAATATTTAATTTGGCTCTGATTACTAAATCATTTTGATTGTCACTCAATGGTTGTATTTTGCCGGTATATTGTATTGGTATTATATGTTGTATTTATGATCATAGTAATTGATATTTACCTTCATCAAATATAAATTATTTCGACTGTTCAATAAAATTAAATATTTAAAAATAATCACAACTTCGTTAATTGATTTTATGAACAACTTCATTTTAGTATTTTTCCAGCAAATATTTGATTTTGTTTGACGTGTACGTGTGGCGCTAAAATAACGTGACGTCACAATACACAATCGAATAGTGAAAAGAGGGTGTTACATTGTACAGTGGCATAATCTGCACCTCTGTCTACCTCTTCGGGTATAAAAAGGCGTGATGTTATGTTATGTAAAATAAATATACTAAAAATACCTAATTATGACTTGTATCTGCTTCCAGCGGTCGCATACTGGCCGGCAGTCACTTCACATGGCGCGGGCGGGGCTCCGCCCTCACTCTGGTGGCTGCCGGAGTCCCGGGCTCCAAGGTCCACGCCGCTAGACCGTACACCGCCTGCGCAGCATGGTTACAGGTGAACTATTTCATGAGTTTATTGACTATCCTAAGAGATAACTTGGTAAATCTTAATATATATAAATCTCGTGTCACAATGTTTGTCCTCAATGGACTCCTAAACCACTTAACCGATTACAATAAAATTCGCACACCATGTGTAGTTCGATCCAACTTCAGAGATAGGATAGTCTATTTTTCATTAGGGAACAGTAGAATAGGGTAGAGTAGGGTAGATTAGGGTAGAGTAAGGTAGAGTAGGGTAGATTAGGGTAGATTAGGTTAGAGTAGGGTAGATTAGGGTAGATTAGGGTAGAGTAGGGTAGATTAGGGTAGAGTAGGGTAGAGTAGGGTAGATTAGGGTAGATTAGGGTAGAGTAGGGTAGATTAGGGTAGAGTAGTGTAGATTAGGTTAGAGTAGGGTAGATTAGGTTAGAGTAGGGTAGATTAGGGTAGATTAGGTTAGAGTAGGGTAGATTAGGGTAGATTAGGGTAGAGTAGGGTAGATTAGGGTAGAGTAGGGTAGAGTAGGGTAGATTAGGGTAGATTAGGGTAGAGTAGGGTAGATTAGGGTAGAGTAGGGTAGATTAGGGTAGAGTAGGGTAGATTAGGGTAGAGTAGGGTAGATTAGGGTAGATTAGGTTAGAGTAGGGTAGATTAGGGTAGATTAGGGTAGAGTAGGGTAGATTAGGGTAGATTAGGGTAGAGTAGGGTAGAGTAGGGTAGATTAGGGTAGAGTAGGGTAGATTAGGGTAGAGTAGGGTAGATTAGGGTAGATTAGGGTAGAGTAGGGTAGAGTAGGGTAGATTAGGGTAAGGTAGAGTAGGGTATAGGAGGGTAGAGTAGGGTAGAGGAGGGTAGAGTAGGGTAGGGTATAGTAGGGTAGAGGAGGGTAGAGTAGGGTAGAGTAGGGTAGAGTAGGGTAGAGGAGGGTAGATTAGGGTAGAGGAGGGTAGAGGAGGGTAGAGTAGGGTAGAGAAGGGTAGAGGAGGGTAGATTAGTGTAGAGTAGGGTAGAGGAGGGTAGAGTAGGGTAGAGTGGGATAGAGTAGGTTAGAGTATTACGCGGTACGAAGTTCGCCGGCTCAGCTAGTAATTAATAAATTAACTGTTTATCATGGAGTTCCTAGGGTATTGGCACACCCGTCACAGTTCATTGGACTGTATCTCCTCTAACGGCCGGAAATATGAACCCATCTCAATCCTTATTAATCCTTACTTCCTTACTAATATTATAAATCGGAAAGTGAGTTTGTTTGTTTGTTCCGCTTTCACGCCGTAACTACTGAACCGATTGCTTTGAAATTTTGCAGAGGTAAAGTTAGAAGTCCGGATTAAATAATAGGGAGATTTATATCCCGGAAAAATAAAATATTTCTGAGGGAAAACAAAAGTATTGGTATAGATGGCGCTGTATGTATTGGTATATGTCACATAGGCTACTTTTTATCCTTTTGTGGCGCGAGCTAAGCCGCGGGTATAAGCTAGTACAAAATAACATAACATCACGCCTTTTATCCCCGAATGAGGCAGAGGTGCACATTACGGCACTTAATGCCACTGTACAATATACAATGTAACGCCCACTTTTCACTATTTATGTTATGAGACCCATGTAATAGGGGGTGAGCCTATTGCCATATACCGGGCACAATTCCAGACTCCGTGCTATTAGTAAGATTTAAAATAAAACCAGTAATAATCAATACAAAATCTGTGTATAAAATGTTCGGTTTCTATCAAAAATGAATATTATTCGACAATAAGCGATGATCTTGGCAATCCGATTAGAGATCGCAATAAAAAAAGATATACCGCTGTTCCCCGGTCACTAACAGATGTGTAGTCCGTTAGGCGGGCATACTGACAGCGAGCATACGTAGCTCGCCGCCCGACCAGTGCCTTTAGCCAAACGCCACTTTAGCGCTTGTCTACAGAGAGAGTGTAAAACTAAATGTATGGGGATGACACTGACATGTGTAAAAATTTACGTTAATTCCATATAATTTGGTTTGCTATTGTACAAGTAGACTTACCGTACGGCGCGTCGCGTTCCGCGCGCGCCTCAAAGAGCCATCAGACCACCACAGATGGGGCCCAATAGGGCCGATGCCGATTCGGAGTCGCGGAGAACTTAACGGGTAACCGGGGCTCCGGCTCGACGTGCAGGAGAAGGAACGGGGTGGTTTTTAGTCAGTAAGAGTCTGACACTCCCTCTCGCTTCATCCAGACGGGAGAAGTCGTTCGATGATTTCCTTCCCCCCTTAAAAAGGCGGGCATACGACACCCGCGGGAATAGGAGGGGTGGTAACAAATGACTGACCACTTTTATAAAATGTTCTTCTTTCCACAGGTCTTAATTCCGAAAGACTTAGCTCAAGACATGTCTAAGAAAGTGGCGGCATTCTCAAAATTGGCTGACTCGGACTCCGAACCCAATAGCGACGAGGAGGAACAAAGCGTCGAACCCCCAATGTTACCGATAACACTCACTTGGCCGAAACACAAGTTGAAAATAACTATTTTATCTGATGGAGAATTTTTATAAAGAACTTATATTCATTAAGTTAAAACGCGGGTTACTCACGTGAATATACTGAGAAAAGCTTTACCGCGCAAGCTGCTCATGAGGAAGAACCCCTCTGTGGTTCAAAACTAGTAGAGCTTTTCTCAGTATATTCACGTGAGTAACCCGCGATTTTACTTAACTTATATTCAGTTTTTTTAAAGGGAATTGTAAGATAAAATTATTAATTTGTTGTTTATCACATCGTCACATCAACAGCCTATAATTGAGATGATGACGGGGTATGAAAATTAAAAATATAATTAGTCCGTAAGTTAGGTGATGAAAAAATATTAGACACGTATTTTGTATTTTGTCGTATAGTAAAACAATACTTAGATAAAACGAATCAAAGTTATATCTTTTCATTACCTAACTGACGGACTAATTAGATTTTTAATTTTCATACCCTGTCATCACCCCAATTGTAAGTTGTACTTATCGTGCCGTCTCTGTCATTTTACAAAGAATTTGTAGACAGAACTATAGTTAAGCGCGACTTATAATTGAGTCATTCAGTATTTGTGCGTAAGTATCTTTGGAATCTCATAATTTTCAACATAACTGTGCCATTAATTAAAAATCGCGGGTTACTCACGTGAATATACTGAGAAAAGCTCTGCTACCCGCGCCGCTGGTGAACATACCGTGTGCTTTAACATCGTCCAACGCGCCGCCGCCGGAGCTGGAAGCAAACGCTCGTGGTGTCGCACAGAGGGCGCGGCGGGCTCGCAGCGCAAGTAGCAACACCGAGGCGAACGCCAACGCAAGCCAGTAAGCTGTAGACATCACCGCGACCGCGAACGCAATGAACCCCTCTGTGGTTCGAAACTGGTAGAGCTTTTCTCAGTACATTCACGTGAGTAACCCGTGATTTTTAGTTAATTTAGTATGTCTCACGATAGTTATTATAAAAACATAACTGTGCCATCTATGTAAATTGTAAAGTAAAAAATGTTTAACAATAATAAAAGATCTAATTTTCAACTGCTAGAACAAAAGTAGGGAGTTGTTTATAATTGGGTACTTTCAATACAATGTCCTTTAATTTCAAATATCTGTCAATTTCAAAAATAATAAAAAATAAATTATTTCGACTATTCAATACAATGAAATATTAAAAAATTATCACAATTTTATTAATTGATTTTATGACAAACTTAATTATAGTATTTTTCCAGTAAATTTTTAACGAATAAGTATGCTGTTTGACGCTAAAAAAACGTGACGTCACAATACACAATCTCGTACAAAATTCATAGAAAACAGTCGTTTTTGACAGTTCGAAAAAAGTATTGAATTTGACTAGTTGGCAAGTACACGATTTTAGTAAAAGGTAGATCCTGGGAGGTTGTTAATATTTTACTAATAGTACTGTATAATGTAAAAATAATAACAAATACATAATAATGAATTTGTATGTGTATATAGGATGTATAAAGTCATTTACTAACTAATGAGAATAAATACCTACATACAATTTATAACGATATTTTTTTAACCAACATCCCAATAAGTCTCAATTCCCTAAGTCCCAGTTCTCAATTCCCTATACTAGATAAAGAGACTAAATAGATATGTGTCTTCCATACATTACATTTAAGTGTGGGAGAGCATTGCTTCGGCACGAATGGGCCGGCTTGACCGGAGTGATACCACGGCCAACAGAAAACCGACGTGAAGCAACGCTTGCGTTGTGTTTCGTCGTGTGAGTGAGGTGATCGGAGGCCCAATTACCCTCCCCTTTCCCAATCTCCCCAATTCCTGAATCTCCAACGATCCGCAAACTTCTAATCCACAAAAGGCCGGTAACGCACTTGTAACGCCTCTGGTGTTCCAGATGTCCATGGGCGACGCTGATTGCTTACCATCAGGTGATCCGTCTGCTCGTTTACCGGCTTATGCCATAAAAAATAAGACATGAGTACAATAACTCTCTCTCCTACCAATTTTAAATGTTGCTGTGTCCGGCAGGGTCCGTATTTGGGTACTTTCCTTAATCAAAAATAAATTATTTCGACTATTCAATACAATAAAATATTTAAAAAAAACACAATTTCATTGATTGATTTTATGACCAACTTAATTTTAGTATTTTTCCAGCAATTTTTTAAGAAATAAGTATGCTGTTTGACTTAAAATAACGTGACGTCACAATACACAATCTCATACAAAATTCATAGTCGTTTTTATAGTTCGAAAAAAGTATTGATTTTGCCTAGTTGTCAAGTAGGTACCCAATTGTTACCATTGAATTATCTAACTACCTGTATGTGTGCATAATGGATGCAATAAATACTTGTTATGGTCATAAGGACAAGATTCTCAATTCGTCAGTATTTTTTTTTTTAATTCAACTGTGTATGGCATTTTAAGGATTGTTCTTTTACACGTTCGCTAATCCTACCACTTGAGTCGGGTTTCCAAAATTACACAGTAAATGTCTATACAAAATTATACGACGTATCAGTACGTAGTCCCAGGAAAAATATTGTTTTAAACATATTATGACATGACACAACCGTTTTATCACGACACCGTGTATATGCATCTTGGTAAGGATACGCCTCGTTGGAGGTGTCGGAATCATCGAACATGCTTATCTTATGTTTTATTTTGCGCTTATATCCATCTAAAACACACAATAACCCATTAAACATCAATTTTACAACACTATAAAATCATTAATTTGCATTGAAGTAATATACAAAGTGACATAGCCGCGCTGAATGAATACCGTAACCGCTCACTATCAACGGCACTTATTTGAAATAGTCTTTTTTTTTCCCTCTTTGGATTTGAAATAGTTCTTAACTTACCCTACGTGACAGTATACCTCTAGTGTTGGATATTTTATATGTATGTTGTGAGTTGTGACACAAGATACATTCAAAAGTATTTTTACTTGAACTTTCATCGGAAATAAACGTTTTGCCGTATAATAACAATTATTTTAATCATAAATGTTTTGACTATGAGGTCAAAAGACCATTATTCAAGGTGGTAATACCAACAAAAATCGTTTCTGTCGACGTAACGTCAAACAATTTTTAGGTTATGAAAAATAACCAAGCTTTGACAACCAGTTAACGCGTCCCGTCGCGACATAGTTGCAAATAACTAACCGTTGTTGTAACTAATTGATATTGTTACCTAATATAAAAACAGTTGGTGTTTGTGTTTGTGTTTTATCGTTATTTTTGTGAAAATGCGAAAGAACAATTCACAACTTTGGAGCTATTTTGATAAGGAACCTAATAAAAAGGCAGCTATATGTCGATATTGTAATAAATCGTATTCATATGTATCTACAACGGCCAATTTGAAGGGCCATTTAAGGAATTGTCATCCAGAAGTTTTTGGAAGAATTGACTGGGCACCCAAGACGGGAGATAACGAAGGTAAATCATACATACAGTTATTGGGTACAATACAGTTCTCGTTATAACAGTTATCAATGACAAAACAAGTGCATGGTCTTTTTATAGTATAGTTATAATACCGTTTTATTTATGAAAACTTAATGATGATTGTTATTTAAATACGTTTTATTAGATTAGAGTGGTAGCGTGTAATGCTGAAATAATTGAATTTTGAATTCTAAAATTGAAAGGATAAAGTTGAAAAAAAATAACAAAGACATAGTTGTTGACGAATTTATACCTGTTATTAACGAGCTTAATTTGGATTTCATAATAAAAGAACAAGAGTTTATCTGTGCAATTTAATCCAGATAAGACGATTTCGTGCAATAAAATATGTGTTATGTATTCTTTTTGTAATCCTCCTTTGATATTATTATCCTAGCATTAAAATTCACAGTGTGTATTTCGTCGTAGATATTTAACACTAAGAAATTTTCTTAATGAATGTAAGTTGTGAATAAACAAGTACAATAAATTAAAGAAATAATTCTACTAAAGAAAAAATTCCGCGATTGGTACCTACAGTGGTTGGTAAAATAACATACAGACGAAACTCTTATTTTTTGGGAAGTTGGTTGTGCGCGGTTGGCACAGTGACTAGGCGAACAACTTCTGTACAACGTGTCGCGGGTTCGATTCTTTGAGTGATTCTCAAATAGGTAGATAGTTGACTGCACGATTGGTGCGGTGGCTGGGCAACCGGCTGCCGTGCAACGTGGCGCGGGTTAGATTCCCGCGCGGAACAACACTTTGTGTGATCCACAAATTGTTGTTGTCGCACCCACGACACAGGAGAAGACCCTAGTGTGGGGCAATGTATAAAAAAATGCTTTTTTATATGGCGTGATTTATATGTGAATTTGTATGAGGTGACGAAGACTGTTTATGATGCAGACCTTTTTTCTTTTTGATAAAACTAGCGACCTTCCCTGGCTTCTCACGAGTGCAATATGCATGTATAATACAGATAAAGCTTCCTTAAGAATCACTCTATTTATTAAAAAAAACCGCATCAAAATCCGTTGCGTAGTTTTAAAGATCGAAGCATACATAGGGACAGACAGACGGTGGATAGCGACTTTGTTTTTTACTATCTAGTGATGTAGTGATATAACAAGAGATTTTAAATCTAAGGAGATTATGTCACACTCATCGTGACTATGAGAATTATCGGAGTAACCAAAATTACCTTTTTTAACATTTTTGTCTGTTTATATTTGTACTGGCTTATCTCTGGAATGGCAGACAGCTAATGTACCTACCTAAGGAGTAACAGAATACCTATTAAGTAGGTATGCTACGTTTTTCAACCCACTTCACTTTGGAAAATTGAAACAATAACCTCCTCCTTTTTTGAAGTCGGTTAAAAAAGTTATGTTCTAATATTCTACGCGAAGTCGCGGGCAACAGTTAGTTGCGAAGAAAGTACCCATTAGTGCCTTACAGGCTCGAAGGACCATTTTTTGTCCTTTAGTCGTAGTTTATATGATGAGGTTTGAACTTTGATGTACTAATACTAGTTTATAAGTTGTATATGTCTTTACTAACCATATAGAT